TAATATCAATATATCCGCGGATCTAGGACTGGCAAAAAAACATACCCTAGGGTCCGAGATTAATCCAGGCGTCTGAACCTGGACCACACGCTGGATGAACTTGGCACAGCAAAGCTTAACTGGGCATGGGAACGAGTCCATTCTCCTAAGTATATCCTGCTTAATTGCACTCATCGTTTCCCATGACTTGCCATCCTGTGGGTGGTTCACTCTGTCGGTATTGTTAGCCCTGCACCAGGTTGGCGTTTTGAGCACGCTCCTGCGTCGCAGCCACGAAAGCTCGAGAATAACCTACACGTGTCTGAAGACGAGGGGATACAAGCTAGCTGAAGTCTGTACTAAGCTTTGTAGGACTGCCGTGTCTGCCTCCGGCAACTCTAGAATCTCACGGATTGTCTGCAGGACATTTGGTGCTAGCTGCTCCTTCTGCGCAACAGCTAACATTGGGCTAGCAAAGGTTTCTGCCAAGAAGTTTGCGCCCCATCTTCGCAATTCTAGCCGTGTACTAGCACCCACGATAGGAAGGATGCCGTTAACGATCTGCGGGTAGAAGGCGGCATCACCGAGGACGAGGCTGCGGGCGGCGTTGAGCTGGGCGACCTGGTCGACGACATTATCCATCGGCTGAGCCATTGTAGCTGTAATGGAAAGGTATCCGTTACGCGACGGTCGCGTCGGATTCAAGTTGGGAGACTAGGTGTTGGGGGAAGGGAGGGCGCTGGTGGGTGGACGGGGAACACGGATGCAGTTGCAAAAGCAACACGCATAAGCTTGAGGTTGCGATCCCAGAACGAGAAAATAGCGGCAAATCAACACCAAGGTTGGAATGGACAAGTGGTTATGCGATGGGTGGTGAAGGAAGAGCGATTGGGAAGTGAGGTTGACGGCCGTCGAGGATGCGACAAAAGCTGCGAAGCCTGAAAGGGCGGCCGACAAAGACTCCGATGTATCTGAGTTGCGTATCTCTCTACATACAACACTTGATTCACTAGGCTAAAAGTCTCTCTAGGCTTCAATAGTTTGGAATTGAATTCAACCAGTGTCTCAATTACAATAAAAGTTCTCGATCTAATCCCAATAGAAGCATGTAAACCCGCATCACGTTGTCTGGAGCCTCCGACGCCAAGACTTTTCCTCCGGGTCTGCCTGTATGGCCTCAACTTTCTTGCCTCTCACGTCTCTGTCAACAACACTCTCACCATGGCTACTGGAATGTATGTATCGTCTCTTTGGACTTGGGGGTCTCATATTGTTAACATCATGCCTCTGTGATAGCTTCAACTCCACCTACTACGGCAAGGACTACCGCGCCGGTGCCGCCCTCCTGCGCGCCCGCCGCCCATACCTGTTCAAGAATACCCTCACAGGCTTCGGACTGTTCGCATTTACAATTGCAGTCTGTGAGTAAACCCTGTGATACATGTCGATGCTCTACTTCAAGCCTGTTCCCATCTCCGAACCCATCATGCCACCAGAACTTGCCCACTGAGAAGTCTCCATGCGGGCTCGATATCCACAAGAGACATGACTCGTGCTAATATGGCTTTGATTTCCAGACAGCTACACCCTGAAGGCTGTCGGCCAAGAAGAATTCGCCGACGTCAAGGTCCCCGATGCTCCCGCGGACAAGAAATGAAGCACACTCGAGACCCACCGGACCAGTATTTGGTGATGGGTTGACGCTTCAATTGGGGTTTCGGAGTCTTCAGGGAGACCTTGTTTTTCAGATCTGTAGGATTAGCGATAATACCAGCATTTGTGCTGCCATGCACGGAAGGAATTGGCTTGGAATATAAACTGTACAATGAATTTGGGCTACGGATGTCTATCATTCTTCGCACCGTGCCGCTGTGCTTTCTATATGCCCTACCAACTTCAAGAAGAAATCTCGCTATTTCCTTGCTACTCCGACATCGCATCGCTAATATCAAGTAGGTAAAGCTGACAGGCAGAGTAATACAATAGCCTTCCGAGAAGAAAGGTATTGATATATTTCGAGGTAACTAGACCTAGATTATATTCGGTATGGTTTTAACGCACAGTAAAAATGGCCTGCTATGCCAGAGCGAATCATAACAGCCAACAAGACAAGAAAATGCAACATGAATCTAGAAAACGAATCTCTACTCGGTTCGCAGAACACGAGGACCCTTGTGCTTAGGGGCACGCTTGCGCTTGAGGCCCTTGTCAAAGGCAACTGCGTTGCTATGATCACGGCCAAGGTTATCCAAATCCTTGACCTTGTAGAGACGAACGATCCAGTTCTCACTGGTGAAAGCCTCTTCCAGCGTGTTGAGCTGGGGGCTTTCCTTGGGAAGTTTTGTGCCACGGACGCGGTCCATGGCTTGACCAGCCGGGAAGAGTGACTGGAAGTTGTGATAAGACATCTTGTACCTGTTGATGGTGTTAGTAGTTACTTGAATAATAGAAACGTTGGGTTCTTACATCAAGCTGTTCTTCATGGCGGGCGTAGCCTCTTCGTCGACACGGTACTCGCCACGAGCGGTGAAGTAGTCGCGCTCCTTCACCTCGTCTGGCCAGATACCCTCGGCAATACGAACCATCCAGAGGAACTTGTTCAAATCGTCACCTGAGTAGCCGAGTAGTCCACCAAACACGACCAGGACATAGTCGACATCGTGCTGTCGCAGAATGGGGTAGCTGACTTCCTCGCGCGAGCTCATTGCCTTGCCAACAGTGGCAATATGGGTGTTGTTCCAGGTGTTGTTGTCTACCAGGGTGGGGCGGTCAGCCATACCACCAATTTGGTATCCATAATCCCACCAGGACATGATCTTCGCATTATCCGGGGTATTCTGGCGGAGCCAATAGTAGGCCTCGCGGTAGTCATCAATGATGAACTGGCTTCCATCAGGGAGCTTGCTGGCCAGAACCACAGAGGGCGAGGAGTATGCGTTGGAAGTAACCCAGGTGCAGTGTGCCACGAACAGAAGCAGGTAAAGGGTGACTGAAGATACCACGACAGACTTGGAGAACCAGGAGTAGATACCGATAACGGGGTCCCGGGTTGACCGGAGTGACTTATCGTCCGTAGTTATCTTAGCCTTGGTTTCAGTGCTTGGGGTCGACGCAACCAAGAAGTTATCGAGGATGCATGACAAGGCCAGAGCAGCCGCAACACACACAATGGGGGTCAAGGTCAGCATCAGGCGGACCATAACGCCGGCAAAGTAACTAGCAAGGACTGAGTAGATGACCACAAAGACGTGCTCATCCTTGAGTTTCTGGAAGCACATGAACACGCCGGCCGGGAACAACCAGATAAGGAAGTTCAGGTCAAAGAAGAAGGCAGGCCAGGCGGTAGGCTGGTGCTCGGAGACCGAGGCAATAATTGGGATATGAATCTTGGCATATCCGGTGTCCCACAGAGAGTAGAAGCGACCACTCCAAGGGGCAATCACCCCAGAGACTGACAGCAGAATAAGGCCACCGAATCCAAGGCCAAACGTAAGCAAGACCATAGAGGTGAGGAGCTTCTGGAACTGCTTTCCGGGCAGGTAGGCTCGGATGAACTCGGCAAATGCCACCAATTGGATCAACCCAAAGACACCTATCAAATAGTTAGAATAAGACAACGGTACGGCTCTCCACAAGTCTTACCGAGTGCAGACATGTGGTCACTGTTGCGAATAGGCAGGAAACCGACGAAGGGGATCTGCATGCTTCCCAATGTTCCGAGGGCATACCATGTGGTGTAGCTGATATAGACACGGCTGCTGTATCGGCCCATGCACAGAAGAACAAAGACGTGGAGAGGGATCAGATTGGTAATGAAGACGTATCCACCCCAAGCAGAAACCATGTATCCATAGAACAATGCAGTCAAGGCTCCCCACATGATCGATCCGTTCTTCACGGCCTTGATCCAGAGGTAAAATGTGAACACCAGCAGGAAAATGGCAATGGCTTCATTGTCGTAGCTACCTGCCACGGACCGCGAGATGTAACCGGGTGTAATTCCCATGAAAGCTGCGGCGAGGAGACCTGCGGAGGGAGAGTCGGACATCTCGGAAGTCAGAAGATACATTGCCAGCGCTGTTAGTCCAGAGAATCCGGGGGCGAGCAGGACACAAATGTTTCGAATGTCGACGGGGATAGTAAGGAGACGAAGGATGTGGTAGATCACGCCGCTGGTCACCATCAGGCCAGGGTACAGTGTACCACCAGTAACACGACCAAGAGGGTGCCATGTTCCTGTAGTATGAGGATTTCCATCAGCACAATGCCGTTTACTATCATGTGGAGGACGTGCAATCACAGGAAAGGGGCCTTACGGTCATCAAACCAATCCCAGAAGCTATAAAAGCCATTTTCAATCAAGTATTTTGTCGCACGGAAGTTAAACCACGGATCGACTAGAGTAAGACGGTATCAGAATCTCGTTTGTATGCTCGGGGCCGTCGAGGTGGCCGCCGCATCTAGTGCAGCAACACGGGGGAATCATACATTCGTGGATGATACTTTCAAATCCTAGAAGATAGTTAGTATACTGATCATAGAGGATCTCAATTGAGACATACTAATAACACTGAACAAGCGGCTGGCCACCGCGGCGGCGGCAATGGTACAAAGAATGATAACCCGCAATAGACCGCGCGTGTTCCGGCCGGAGCTACCTTTCAACACAACATCAAGCGAAGACGGGGCCATGATGGCCTTGAAAACGGAGCAAAGTCCAAAGTCAGAAATCAAAATAGAAACATGAAATCAAGGAATGAATTGGGCTGGGATGCCAGTGGTGAGGGCCGTGGGGAGAGATGGGAAGAGCAAGAGCTGCGCAAGGTGGTCACTTCTGAAGGTCTTGGCATCGGCCAGAGGCGCCACCTCCGATTGCTCCCCGCAATACTACGACTCATCACTAATCTTTGCTTAGAGCTCTTTGGTGTAATTTTGACCCAATATACTTACTACTGTTGATTTAATCAGTATTCCTACAACAAACGAGCCATTTACAATTTATCTACACCTCATATACCCACATGGAGCTGCCTCCGCTGACCATGGAGCAGCTCTCACAGCTGGTGGCCTCCAACGCTCCACCGTCACAGCTCTTCGAAGCCTTATCGCGATATGAGCTTCAAGCATGCCTCATTTATACCGGGGATAACAGTGCTAGCACAGACGGTGCTGATTCTACGCTATTGAGCCTGTTCTACTCGAGCTTCTTCCTCGTCCATCTTCTTACCGACCAAGTGTTAGTTCCTTAGTGACAGTGCTTTTCACGGTTGCTACAATGCTAATGAAGCTTGGGTCCCAGATCTGAAGCTCGCGCCTTAACAAAACGAATCCCCGAAGCCCTACTACAACAGGATCCTTCCCTACAGAACTGCTTGGCTTTACTGCGAGCGGTATGGCAGACCCAACACGGCCAGGTCTACCAGGTACTCCGAGGGCTACCATGGCCAGACGTTTTGCAGCCACTGGTTCGGAGATATGAGAGTATGTCTCCCATGACAATGAGCTATTTCTTTCGGCAAGATCTTAGATTAACCAACTATCCTGCGAATTAGGTTTCTTCCAAGACAAAACCCTGATCGCAGTGAGCAGGTCTTACGAAGCTATTCGACTAGCTACAGCGGCAACACACCTTGGTCTTGATGAACAGCTCGCCAAACAGGAAGACCCGAACATAATATCGAATTTCACGAAATGTGGATGGACATGGGATCCGGAATCAAAGCTGCTGCATCCCAAACCTATCGTCGTATCGACGGCGGAGCCTCAGTCTTCCAACGGGATTAGCAAGGCAATGGCAATGCTGGGAACGCGTGCGGGTTAAACTTGCTTGGAACATCAAGGAATACAAGTTATTTAATAGATCTGATTCTCAGTTCGAGGACTAAGATGTACGCTGCTACATCCTCGGTCCGGGGTGGGAAATGCGAGGACGGAGGAACACCAAAACCAATATTGGTCTGATACGCACTAGAACCATTGCTAACGCCGGAATGCATAACACGATCTTTTGCTCTTGCTTGTGGTCCAACTGTAGTGTACAGGCGCACGACAGCCCAGGGTATGTACAGGACCCAGATAAAACGTCTAAAAATGAGAAACAAAAATCATTCCATCTTGCGCTCGCAATGCCACAGCTCGAGGGCAAATTAAACCCAAACAATCGTACAATAAAATGGAGCGGAATTGAGCAAAACGCGTCTAATACCCTGGGGGAGGTGCGATTCCCGCAAAGAGATCATTGCGTATCATTCCTCCTCTATACCATCCATCATCTTTACTCGGCCTTAGCCTTCAGGAATGCCTCCAGGTCGAACTTGGGATCCTCGAAATTCGTGATAACTATGAGATTTTGGTCAGCACTTGGTGTTTCGGAGATATGCGGCGGCTCCGGATGTCGTTGCATTTGTCTGCGTTGTATTATCGAGGGGAATTTAACGTACGTCCGCTGGTCTGTGTCTTGATCTCTTGCTGGGGCTGGGTCTTCTTCTTGTATTCCGCCTTGGCCTGCTCGATCAGACGCTCCTTGCGAGCATACTCGTGCTCGATCTCTGCGCGCTTGGTCACCGAGTTGAGAGATGACTGGTGGTAGACACCGTAGACGAGACCGGCAACGAGAGCCGAGTAGCGGAAGACCTGTAGGTTTAGAAAACGTGGTCAACAACCATCGGGGGAGAGGGTAACCCTTAGCCGGTACTCACATTGACACCCTGGCTAGCCATTTCTGCGAGGTTTTCGGAGGACGGGAATTAAATGAGGGAATAAATTGTGGAAGAAGGAGGGACCGTGCAACAGGTGTCAACCGTCAATGGCAATGAATCTCCAGGTTAGTCAAATGGCGAGGTTCAGTTCATGGATGTTCTGCGCGCGCGAGTTTTTCCGGACCGCTCCAGAGTTCCCGAAGACGGAGCTTAGTCATCCCCGTAAATAAACGCGCAGTGGAGGTACTACACCTAGACGAGGACGCATCTGGTCTAACCTTTTATGATTATACAAGATGTCGATGCAGCAGCGCAAGGATGAGATCCTCGCGAAGCGGGCCAAGCTTGCCGAGCTCAAAAAACAGCGCGAGCTACGCCAGAAGGAATTCACCTCCCGAACCAGCGTCGGGGATGCTTCAGAGGTAAACACGGCGTGTGAATTAATTACGGAGCTCGTCCGCGTCTAACAGCCTTGCTAGATTATCTCACCAGTTCCAAGCCGCACAGATAATAGACACGACCTCGATGACTTGATCTCTCGCTTGGTCGACCGCCCAGCGTCGGCCTCCCTCAGCCACGGCGCTGATGGCCAGTCGCGGAGAGGAAGTCGACCAACCTCCGTGCTGAGTGCGAGCCAATTAAGCGGAGAGAATGCAGATTCATATGCAGCTCCATTGCGACCACAATCTCAGTCCATTGCCGTCCAGACAACAGATGAGCCTTGGATTTCCACTGCAACGGAAGCCCCGCAGCCCCCTGAACTTGAACCCGAATACAAATCCACGCCCAAGCCAGAAGTTGTCACTTATAGCAAGGCCGTACAAACAGACGGAATCGATTTGCAACCCGAGACTCCTGAAGAGTCTGTCGCTTCGGACGATGAGGAGTCACCTGGTACTACGCGGTCGAGCAAGCGTCTCAGTCGACGAGACCGGGAGCGAGATGAGGAAATCCGACAAAAGCTTCGCAAGGAAATTGAGGACGAGCTTCAAGCTACCAAGGCCGATAATAATGAGGACACAGCTACACAATCTGCAAAGCTGCGGTATCCTCTACGCAAACTCGATGACGACGAGCTCAAGGCAGTCACATCGTCGAACGATTTCCTAGACTTTGTAGAGCGCTCGTCGAAGGTCATCGAGCGGGCTTTGGACGAAGACTACGACGTACTGGCAGACTATGAGTTGGGTGGGACTGATGGTCATCTGCAAGAAGATGAAGAGACTGGCAAGAAAAGGAGAGGAATGCAAGAAGTGTGCCATTTCTGGGATGAGCGATGGAGCAAGAATCGCATTATCAGCGATCTGAGCTTCTCTCCCAAGGCAAGCTTTCTACTTCATATAAATGTGCTTTGACTCATGCTAACCTTGACTCCAGTTCCCTGAATTGTTGCTTGCATCATACACCAAGAATACTTCCGCTCCTCACGAACCCGATGGCCTTGTTCAGATCTGGAATCAGCACTTGCAAACTCGCCCGGAGTATGTGTTCCACTCGACATCCGATATCCTTACAGCAAAATTCTCTCCCTACCATCCAAACCTTGTTGTTGGAGGCTCCTATTCAGGACAAGTGCTCGTGTGGGACACTCGTTCCTCGCGCGCCGGTGGAGGCTCTCCGGTACAAAAGACCCCCCTGTCAGGCGGCGGACACGCCCATCCCGTTTACAGCATCTCAATTGTTGGCACACAGAATGCACACAATATCATGACCGCATCCACGGACGGTGTGGTCTGCGGTTGGACGATGGATATGCTCTCTTACCCACAAGATCGTGTGGAACTGACTACACCTCCCCCATCTAAGACCGAGGATCTTGCTCCAACCACCATGTCATTCCCTCATACTGATCCTACGTTCTTCATCGTCGGTACTGAAGAGGGAGTCATCTACCCGTGCCACCGGTATGATCGGGCCGGAGCTAAGTCTGGCACAGACCACCGCCTAGCGTACAAGGGACATACGGCACCAATCATGTCTACCGCATTCCACCCCGGTCGTGGACCCGTAGACCTGGGCGATCTTATGTTGAGCTCCAGTTTGGACTGGAGCGTCAAGCTCTGGCGTGTGCGGCCGCCTGCGACGACCGCCTCTGCCACATCTGGCCTGGCCCAATCCCAAGTTGTCTCACCCATTCTCGACATTACCCGTGACGATGTTGTCTACGATGCCCGCTGGCACCCAACCCGACCTGGTGTGTTCTCTCTTGTCGACGGTGCCGGCAACGTCGAAGTCTGGGACCTCGCTTCAGATACCGAAGTGCCAGTCGCTCGTGAAGTTGTTGACAATACCCATGGCAACATCATGTCCCGAAGCCTTAACAAGGTTGCATGGGATGAGCGCGAGGGACGCCGCCTGGCAACTGGTGGCCTCAATGGTGTTGTTACAGTCTTTGAAGTTGGCAAGGGTCTCTGTGGGCTGCCGGAGGAAGTGCCGGCGGACGAGTGGACTGGTATGAAACGGCTTGTAGGAAAGCTAGAACAGAAAGACAAGGACCGGGGGGCGTAAGCCTACTACTCCAAGGGCTTCTGTCTTTTCCAATGATTGTCGATGTAGTTTTCTTCTGCGGGCCGACCTTCCCGTCTACCTTTTTCCCTGCGAGGTCTACCGTCTTGCTTGCCATATACCCCATTCCCTTCGATCACATAATTTGTGCATGTGTATGTATCTCATCGCAATTGCAATGGAAAAACGTCATTATGTTCCCGGACCCTTGTTCTCTCTTCTTTACCAACTAGAATCCCGAAATATATCACCATCCTAAAGGCCAATAATTGCGGAGTGTAAGCTGAAGCAATATTAACAACGAAAAACGAAATATATATCATGCAATAGCCAAAATCGGCGTGGTTTGGTACCACTTCGGCTACAATGTATGTTTCTCAAGTGCTTGATAACACGATTCTCCCAAGAAGCATATTTTCCAATCCATTAACCCCTAGACACCAGATTCCAAGGCGGCATTTGTCTCCGATTGAATTCCAGGGCCTCTCGTTGAATAAAAAAAAATATCAAAAATTCCTCGACGAGTGGAAACCGTCAATCCAGCCTTTGATTTCACCAAGTAAGACATCAACGTCGTAAAGCTATGAATCAACTGCAACGTTGACCTCCTTGACATATATATACTGCCAGTTTGTGAACACTTTACACCCCACTGTCTTCAAGACTAACCAAGTGGCTGTCTATTCCCAGCACAGCACAAGTGGAACTGGCTTAGTATGTGGCATTTGTACTGGAAGATAGCTTATTCTACGCGGGCCAGAATACAGCGATCTAGGATGGGATTCAGCGTCTGAGTCTTACGATGCAATTCAGTCTATGCTAAAAGTCTTCCCTTGAATGTGTCAGTACCCCTTGGATCTTGAATCTTTCGTCCTTCGTCTTGTCACAGAAGAAGCCTTTTCCAATGTTTAGCTGCTGGACAAGAGTATCAACGGCAGCCTTGAATACGTTAGCATGCCAGTCGTATTGGTATCTATAGACTTCAAGTTATCCCCTTCAGGTGAGGAGATGGAGGTAATACAGCGACCTTTGACCTTGCCAAGCCAAATTATTCTTCACTACACAGCCGATGTTGAATTAGTCTCATCCTGACCGGTCTTTAACACCTATCGCTTAGTTGACCAGAACGATTGAACACTTTTTAACTGTTCCCTTCACAAGCATTTGAACAAAACTAGGCATTTCGGTAGGGCAGACTTTGGCTAAACAATGGCTTGAGCATTTGAGAGAAAAGCTCATTAAAACAACGACAGAATCTGCAACAAAACACTGATCTTTTGGCTATTCTGGCGGAGTGTAGACACATTCCCTAGAGCGGCAGAAACACTTATGTTGTAGTCGATACCACACATTATTTACTTCTGCACGATTATGATCAATGAACTCTAGAGGTCGTCAAGGGACTGTTTTTCACGTCATCCTTAGGCTCGTTTTCATTTTGGTCAGGCATCAGTCGGTAATTTATTTATGCGGCGAAGTCTAAAGCCTGGGTCTAGACACCATGCAGGGCCAACACGAGAAAGAATTGGATGCAATGCAAGCATTTCCCCGATGATTCCTCCGACAATCAGAGCTTAGAAATCATTAATCAACTTGACGCAATATCTTGGCGAAGAGCATTACCAGTATCTCTTTGTGGACGGACTCATATTGCAGCAAGGGCGGAAAGGAGTATCCAAGGCATCAGAAATAATAGACAAGGATCGACAAGGATCGACATTCACCCCACGCCGAGGGCCCTTCTCAAAGTGGCGCAGCCTTAACGGAATTTTGCGCTCTCCCTTCTATGAATGGAGGTTGGGGTACCCCGGCAAATTATTTCGGATGCTTAAAGTTAGGATCTCCCTTCACGATAAGAAAGTTGACACACAGCCGTGATAGCATACGACTAACGGAAAGCCTCAACGTGGCATTGGCATTGGCATCTCCACTTAACCCATCACCCTTGCAGTCGGGTCCTACCCTTTGAAGATGGCGAATACCAAGACCAGAAGCTGGATTACACACCTAGCTATACCTCCTGTGTGTTACAACATGTTACAATATGTTGCATATAATCAAACCTACGTAGTTACATCTCTTAAACTTTCGAATAGATCGTGAGGACCTGATTCGAGCATCGAAAGAAGCTGGCTTAGAACTACAACATAATATCCACTTGGCAGCAATTGTAGTACCCCGGGTCATTGACTACATCCTTGATCTACGATCAGGTGATGATGTCACACTCACAGGAGGGAGAATGGTTAAACATGGTTTCAAGCCAAAACACCGCCCAGCCGGCGGGCTGGCCAATTGGAGGTGGATCAAAGACATCCCCTTTGCATTACCACGTCTTGTTGGTGGCTTCATGGAGCGATCGACCTTGCCTAGTCTGAAGATAACAACAGCATGGGGAGGAACACGATTTCTCACACCTTGGCATATAGTATTGCTTTTTCGGATGAAAATATCCAATTATTTTGCTCTTGAGCCCGAACAGCAGTTTTTATTCTCCCCTCACCCCTTTTGCGAAATCTCAACTTCTGATGGTGATGGCCATAAAACTCCAACGTGATCACTACAGTACTTCTTTTTTTTCGAGTTGGGTATAGATTCGTGCAGCCCACATATCCATTACAATGAGGAAATGCCAAGATTTGACCCGTCAGCGCAACTCAGTGCGTGAACTCCTCTCTAGCCAACACAGTCAACCTAGTGAACGCCAAGATCAAGTATTTGAGGCTGTGCTATCGAAACTTAGCCGTTGGTACGGAGTATGCATAGATAAGACTATTAGTGAACCATTGATGCTGCTGGAGATCGTTCTTGGCGACTAGTCTTACTGCAGAGCTTTGGGGCCCTGAACGGACTAGTGTTGGTGGATATGTCGATCCCTTGGCAAATAAATTCTACCTTTGACGTTTTCAGGGGCTAGAGCAGGCGATGCATACTCTCTAAGACGCCATCCCTCACCCAAGGTGATTGCATATTATTCCGATAAACATAGGGGCAGGCGAGTTTAAATGACATGATGACAAGTCACAATGATTCCAAATTTAAATACAGTCGATTTCCGCGTACTGATTCTGCACGATATAGCCAATGAATACCATCACGCATAACCATGCTGCCAAGAAACAATATGAGTAAATGCTGCGGATTGCTCCTTGGAAACAAAAAAGCCTAAGAATCGGGTCTTGACGGACTCCACTGACCCAAGGTAAATCCTAAATCCCCAGCTTCCGATGTCGTATTATAGTTTGATTTATAATGGGATCTGGGGATGAAATACGCATGCGGCAAAGATAATTATAGCGCCAAGAAAACGCCGAGATTCTGCTAAGATGGGATGGATCTGTGAGATCAACTCATTTCAGGATTTGTATTCGTATTGGGCTACTCGTCGTATGAAGATTGCCCATTGAATATGATCCAGTTATGCCGATAATCAAAGCTGTAGTATTTGCATACGCGTAGTGTATGCGGAATGAAGAGCCGTATGGAGTAGATCTAGATTAACTAGTTCGGCTCCCAACTTATTTCTCGGCGGTGTACGGAGTACCCCGTAACACTTACACGAGACGTGTAGGGATGGGGCAAGTATTATTGTTTCATGTCATCAGCGTGTTTTCTTATCTCTCTTGGCAAGGATTCAGCTTATTCCTTTCATGGAGAGGATCGGAATGGATCCAAGAAATGGATCAGTATTAAAGAAGGGTGTATCCGTTGGGTCTATTGTGGCAATATATTTCTTCCAATATTGGCACAGCTAAAGTGGAACCTTCCAGGCTTGATTCTATTCACAATCAGCTTATCCGACTTAAATTATATATACATATTTATTTACAATACTCCGAACATGCACCACCGGCCCCCTTCTCCGTCGGGAAATATCGAGCCACTCACAGCTACAGCCCACCGTGCCCCTGATGACCATCCTATCTCCCAGAATGAGTTGACAGCCGTGAATTTTCGTTTGGAGCGGCCCAATGAGGAAATCAAGTATACACCAGGCATGTGGTCTTCTGGGGGCAGCACAGCAGTGTCTGTATCTGGCAACCAGTCACCAGAAGACAACACGGTGTGTTCAACTATTTCCCGTCACTTCCGAGCAGACATAGACACCACACATACCGATATTCCTCTTATAATATGCGGGTTTGTTGGTGGTTTGGTAGATGGGCTATCATTTAATGCATGGGGGAGCTTTTCAAGTATGCAAACAGGTATGTGGAGTTTATAGTTATCAATCAATTTGTTCCCGTGGCGCAAAGCACATGAGGCTAATGATAAATGACACAGGAAATACTATATTCTTGGCGTTGGGTGCCTCCGGCCAGCCTGCAAACCCTGCATACCTATGGGCGAAGTCCCTGATCGCCCTGAGCGTCTTCCTTGCGAGCAATATAATTTTCATCCACATGCATCGGCTCTTGAGGCCACGACGCCGCTCAACTATGATAATTTCATTTGCCATTCAGACTATTGCACTTTTGGTGGCAGCAATTCTTATCGAGCTGGAGATCATCACCCCGAAGCCCGAGGACCCCCGAGCTCCGATCGAATGGATGCAAGTCCTAGCAATCTCACTTCTAGCTTTCCAAGCAGGGGGCCAGATCTGTGCTACCCGGGTCCTGGCTCTAGATGAGATCCCAACCGTTGTTGTAACGGCTATGCTATGCGATCTTCTTGTCGATCCAAAGCTTACCGCAAAATTTAATCCGAAACGCAACCGTCGAATAGGCGCTTTTCTCGCATTGTTTCTGGGCGCCATGACCGCGGGTGGGCTTTCTAAGACCACAAGTATGGCGTCTAGTATATGGTTCGCCATGGGTCTGAAGCTGGCAGTTACCTTGGGGTGGGTTGTTTGGCGACGGGAGGGGAGGAGAAAGATTGATTTTGATGTGTGACTTGGCCTTGTTTATTTTAGCATCACCTATTCAAATAGGCATGTACACGAGCCCATGAAACTGTCAAGTAATGCTTCGTTTGCTTTGTTGAAACACCCTGTCACTTTTCATTACCGATTACCTCAAATCGGTTTCTTTTTTTCAGCTTGTCCATCCTCCGATTTTGGTATCTATTCAAAACACTAAGCACATGCGGGCATACGAGCTTCAATTATATGCCTATTCTCTCTCATCAACCAAACTCCTAGCAGCTATTACCAACCTCACATTCCATTACACCTACCAGTAAGGCACCCCCACAAATGGCTCGTTAGATCATAGTGAAAATCAACTCCACATTATATGCCTTGTCACTGCACAACTCACGTCTCGCGATAAGTGGCATCTAACGACCTTGGTTTCCATCAATGATCGATCGACCCCGTACTACAAACTGTCACGGCTAGACTTTTTATGTCTCTCAATAGAATGTATAATGCTATGATATTGGCTACCTCTTAGACCTTGCACTCGAATGCGTAAAAGCTCGCTTCACCGACTAGTCAGGGGATGAGAACCTCTCTCAACATCCGCCGCCTAGTTTAGCAAGAATTTGAGCCTCGAAGTCACCAGCCAGCGTAGATAGCTACCATAGCTAACTCCGTCCAAGTCTCGAGTCATACACCCTTGAATCTCAGTCCCGCCATCGCACGATTCTCTGCGATCGATACGCACATCAACCTTCATAATCACAGGCACAATGTCTTCCTCTTTAGGATCCGCCAATAGAATGCTTCGTGGGGTCATCCCCACTCTTGTTGACAAGGCTCGCTTTACCTCTTAGTGTATGAATCTTGGAGTTGAACTTGCCCACCTACTTAATGGTTCCTACGCTAAGCTAGTCATCATTGACGCAACCCAGCCTACCATATCTTCCAAAGATAACAATTGCAGCAAGCCTTGTGCTCGGTTTCAACACAACATTCAATGGTCCGATATAGTGGCTTTCACGTCTGTCAATAGCTACACAGAGGGCGGAATGGCTCATATTTGGGTCTGTTTAGAGACTCCGGTTATAGTTCACAACTTACAAATTCGCACAGCTTAAACTAGCTCTTAAAAAACTATACAACAAGGGGAACTCGGTTATCAAAAGCCTCACATTCTGTATGGTTCCACATTCTCCATAGTCCTTCCTCCCACAACCATTAATATCAAACAAACATATTTATGCTCTCCATCCTGTCTCATTTTTTGGTCCTGAGCAATATTGACTACTCGGTTTCCTCAGGGCTCTTCTGCGCCTACCATTTATCCCATTTGTTGTGGTCTTCACTCACGTTGTGACTGGGTGAGATACTACCGATCCTGCGTTGCTCAATATTACAACAGCAGCCCTGGATAGTCTGAACCACCTCATTTGTATCTGGGCATCTCTACGCTGCCTTTCTTCGAATACGAGCCCTAGTTAAAGCTCGTGAACTATATACAGATACCTATCACGCGCCAAAGACACCTGAGAACCATTGGCCAATCCCCGGACTCAACAACATACCGCCTCTGGGTTACATGCAAGACCCGATACATGTGGACATGGTGGAATATAAACCCGACTCAAATCCACAATTTTTGGTTCCTATGGGGTGGATACCTGTCTATTAATGGATATGGGATTGATTTTGACTAAAACATTCCATAAGAACGGGGTACAAAGCATGCTAGATGGTACCTACTTTAGTTGTATTCGTCAATATTTATTTACTAAGTTGAAGAGTACATAATTAATGTATTAACTGATTAATAGATATTTCTTTCGTATATATTAGGTAAATAAAACATTTTATACTGCAAGTGGGGTCAATTCCTAAAATAGGTGGTTCCATTATATAACCATAACTATGCATAAATGTGTTATAACTTTAAGAGGTACCTAATTAAAGCGCAACCCCGGGGCCCTGGGGCCCCGGCACACAAGTCTTCAGCTATGAAATGGTGATGAATAGTACCTACAACATAGGCAATCCGGTGCCGGTTGTAATTGCCATGATAGCCAATAGGACTACAGTCCCTGGTGGCACACTTGGTCACCCACACATTAGTTTGCTCTGACTAAATGCTCTATGTTCACGGAATGATTTAGCATTCCTAATATTTAATTGCAAACCATATATATCAGGAGTCAGACACGGGAGAAATATATCGTTGTTTGCACAAGATTGTGTGATATAACCAAAATCTATAACCGAAACCAAGTCTATGATTTTATAAAAGGGCTAGTCTATAGTACCTCACAGTGCCATTCTCATTTGCTCTCATCTGAGAGAACGAAGTGCAGAACTCCAGGCTGTCCACTGGCAAGTCCCTTGCTTTCCGAGACATAGATGCACTTGCGGAAAGTAATCATCAAGGAGTACAAGAAGCTCTCCTGCTTCTCCTCGTGGTAGTTTTCACCGAGCATAGGCTGGATGGCCTTGGTGGCTCTCTCTGCGTGGTAGAATGGAATGCGGCTGAAGAGGTGGTGGACAACATGGTAGTCAATGATCTCGTGGAAGAAGTGACGGCCAATGAAACCGGTTGTGCGGTCAATTGTGGCCAGTGCTCCCTTGGTGTAAGTCCAGGCTTCCGCGGTATAGTGAGCAACCTCGGGGTGGGTGTGTTGAAGGTATGTGATGGCAACTGTCGATTCGGTTAGTTCTTGATCTAGGGTCTCAGATAAGATGGGAATGAAATACGTACTCAGCCAGTGGTGAACCCAGAGATAGGGGACAACGTAGAGGAAGAAGACATTCCACGCTCCGATGATAGTTCCAGTGTACCACACGATGGAGCCCATGATCAGCAAGCCGATGTCGGAGTAGGCGATGAGCTTCCATTGGGCGGCAGTGAAGATTGCGCTTGATGGGTTGTAGTGGCTTTCAAACTTCACCTTCTCACCTCCTTCGGGGCCACTCTTGGTACCAGCAGTCACATTCAGGATAAGGTACATCTGCCATCCCAACAACTGGTGTCCGATGAGCTGGATAAAGGAGACAATGGGTGTCTCCTCAGCGAGGTGCTTCAACTGCTCAATGCTGACATTTCTCTTCGACGCCAAGTCATCCTCGGTCCAGGGGACAAATACGGTGTCCTTTTCCATGTGACCGGTGTAGCGATGGTGGCGAGCGTGGGTGATCTTCCATGAGAAGTATGGGACCATGAGGAAGGAGTGCGTGGCCCAGCCAACGAAATCATTGATCCCTTGGTGCTTCGAAAAGGCGCCGTGGCCACATTCGTGAGCAAGAATCCATAATCCTGTGCCAACACAGCCTTGGAAGAAACCGTACGTGGCCCAGGCAACAATTCGCATAGGCAGAGAAGGGAGAAGATGAATGTGGAGTGCAGCGTAAATCAGAGCTGCACAATAGATGCTATCGCGAGCGAGGTAGAGGAGGGAGGTTGTGAGGGACGAGTCAAAACATTCTTTTGGGATTGCATCTTTGAGGGATTGCAAGCTGGGAACATCGGTTTGCTGTAGAATTGGAAGATTAGCATACGCGCTCTGTTTATCAAGTGATTTGGGGCTATCCCATACCTGTTCGGCCTGTTTGACAGGCTGCCTTTGAGTCACAGCCATTTTGAAGCGGTGGATTAGAGATGATTGAGATAAGAAAATGTGTAGAGGATTGAGAGTAGTTTTATNTTTTTTTTTTTTTTTTTTTTTTTTTTTTTGCCCCTTCGCCCCCATACAGGAACCCCTAGGCTCAAAAAAAATATGAGCTCTAGATTGTCGGAACTCAAAAAAATATCAACCAATACCCTTTTTCCAATTCTTTTCCAGAACACTGTCAAATTCGGCGCACCGACAGGAGAGCAGCCTTCCGATTGGAGAATCGTACAACGGGTGGACGCGCTTGTTCCATGGATTCACATTGCACTAGCCTCTTTCTTTTCTTTTCAACGTTTCTGGGGCCCAACGGAATTTTTAGTCCATGGGGACTTTTTTTGGGCTCGATACAACTAGTCACCAAAGTAAGGGCACTTGAATCTGATATCTGATACTACCCCATACTAGAACCCTACAGCAAAATGTATGGAAGTTATTAGGGCACTAGCTGGATATTTCGGCGTTTGCCTATCTGCAGCACGGGAAGTCTCATACACAACCCCCTTTTCGACCTCGGGAGAATCTAGGGATCCACTAATACGCAAAGGTTGGGACAAAACTCAATAAACGGCTTGGCGGTTATCACGTTGTCCTACTGGCTCTGTCAGGGGCAAGAGCGAGAGCACTGCCCTCCATTGTTAAAAACAAACTCCGTACGGAGCACTTCGTACGGAGTAATCCATACAGAGTAAGCGCTTTTTGGTCATCCGATATAACTTTCCTGAGTTTGGTTGATTTGAGATAAGTTAGGATTTCTTTTCAGCAAATACGATCCCTTGTTTGCCAGGAGCATGATCAGAACTTCGGCCATTGGATGAATTGCTTTGTACTCTATTTTAAGCTTATTTTCGCATAATGCTGTACAACTTCGGACTTTGTACCTGTTTACCCGTAATGTACACGGACTCTCTGATTGATCTTGGCTCTCACTCCTGCTAACATTTGTCCAATCGGAAGCTATGTATCGAATTCAAAAACAACGTGTCATTTCACCCTAGTCATTTTTTTAACGATATTTATAATTGAACGTTTCATGTTACGCAGTTGTAATATGTAAACTAGAATAAGATAATTCTAGGATGTCCATGTCGCATATGAGCCCCGAGGCCACGCAACCGGGGGGTGTTTAAGTCGCATCTTTCAATACTCCATACCCCGTACCTTATTTAAAGTTAAGTTTTGAACACCTCGGTAGGGAGATCGGTGTGCAGACGCACGTGATGGCATCAACATACCGCCCTCGTTTCTTCGGGCAATACTCGGGATCACATGAAGTAGCTCTGATATTTTGCATGTGGTTGAATATTAATAGCATCCCACAACAACACGAATTACATGTGCGTTCGCCCAATATGGTTCCATGCCGGAGTCCCAATCCTTTATCTTCTACCTCGTATGAACGTGTATTTCACCGCCGATTGTGTGCTCAATTTGCCATATTAATGGTACTCGAAGGACGGAGTAATCTTGGAGTCTACCAGGGATATGACACGTCACACATTTTGCACATGTGAAAACTATGGAATACTTCGTTGTTAATATTGCGCGAGCCCAGTTGAGCGGGTCCTCGTCACATTCCTATAATCCTTGATCTGGACTGCCTACAACATACAAGTTTCGCTCAGTGGCTGTTTACTAACTATATCACATGTATGTATTTATGTAATCTTCGAATCATAGTTAACGTATTTCACAAGCTAGTGGCCACCACAAGCTAGTGGCCACCCCACCAAAAAACGCGTCAATTAATTTAACCCTTTCTTCTTCAACCATCCACCATGCCACCAATTCGCTCTCAACGCTCTATAAATTCAACTGAGCAAGAGGGTAGGCTTTTATTAGCTATCCAGGCTATTAAAAATAGAGATATTACATCTATTGCTCTTGCTGCTCGTACCTACAAAGTCCCGCGTATAACTCTCCGCTACCGGCTTAGTGGTATATAACACCGCGCGATTTCTCGCGCTAACTTACGTAAATTGATACAAATTGAGGAGGAATCTCTTAAAAAATGGATTCTCTCTATAGATCGATGTAGAGTAGCCCCCCGGCCCTCTATAGTACGAGAAATAGTAGATCTTCTACTTCAAAAGTATAGAACTACCCCAGTTCTTTCGGTCGGTGAAAATTAGGTTACAAATTTTATTAAAAGATACCCTCTTTTATCCTTATAGTTTTTAAAACGGTATAACTACAAGCGTGCGAAATATAAAGATCCTAAGATTATTACTAAGTGGTTTAATCTAGTTTAAAAGATAATTATTTAATTTAGAATCGACCCTAATGATATTTATAACTTTAATAAGACCGGTTTTATAATAGGATTGACTGTAACTGCGAAGGTTATTACAAGGAGTGAATACTACAGTCGGAGGCCGGTTTTATAATCTAGAAATTATAAATAGGTAATAGTTATTAAATATACGAATACTTCTAGATAGGCCCTTCCTCTGTATATGATTTTTAAAGGTAAAGTCTTTATTAAATCATGGTTTAACAGCCTTCTAGGGGATTAGCGCTTCGAAGTTAGTCCTAATAGCTAGACCTCTAATAAGATTAGACTTTGTTAGCTTAAGAAGCTCTTTATTCCTAGTACTTTATATACTAAAGGGGTATACTAGCTTTTAATTCTTAATAGTTATAGAAGTTATTTAATACCTAAATTTAATAAAATTTATAAGTAAAATAAAGTAATACTAATCTATATACTAGCGTATTTATCTTATCTTTTATAACCTCTAGATATTAGTTATTTTACAGTATTAAAATATATATACAGCCGGATAGTTAAATCTAAAATGCAGAACGGGATTAATTATATTAATAAACTTGACTTCCTTAAAGCATACCCTCTTATATAAATTAAAGCTTTTAAATCAGAGACGATTAAGAATAGCTTTATAATAGCTAGTTTAGTCCCTTTTAAACCGGAGAGAGTAATCTTAAAGCTTAATATTTAGCTTCGAATACCTACCCCCCCCCTTAGTCGGGGGAGCAAATCAAGTCACAATTTTATACTAAAAATACTAGTTATAGATAGACCTAGTAGTGACCCTCCGGGTGGTCCATGATCTTGGACCCTCCACCCGACCCTCTGAGGGTCAGGGTCGCTTATAAGCGACCCTGACCCTGACCCTAACCCTCTAAGGGTCGCTCACGGGTAACCCTCTACGACCCGCAGCGACCCTCGGATATATAAATT